AGGCTGGGGAACTGACATGACCATTTGCTGGGTCAGCAGCCTGAATATTTCAAATCCTAAAATACAAGCAGTAGAGGTCTCCTGGACTTCGGAGTCTCTAACAGAAGACACTGGAAAAAAAGATTGAAAAACTATAAAAACTGACTGGGGAAGTGAAAAATAATGATGGGACAGAGATGTTGACTTCTGGCTGTAGTTTTAAACCTTCTACTTTAAAAAGTTGGATGGTGCACTACCTTTATCTTTTTCTTTGCTACTGAAACATTTAGCAAAACCAACAAGTTGTGGAATAGCCAAGGGAGTGGGTGATAGAAAGAGATTCTAACACAGAAAGGTAAAGGAACCCAAGAAAGCAGGCCAGTATTTAAACTCATCTTTTAACCACATCTTACATTTTCATGTGTTTCCTCTTCTCCTTTCTTCTCCCATCCTCAACACTATATTCTGGATTTATACTTCAGAGGCAATAAAGGTGAGATGTACAGCACTGAAGAGCCTAAGAAAATAGCTAAGATATTATACAGTGATAAATCACACAAACTAGATAGTATTCTCTAAGAGTCTTGGAAAAAACTGTAGTCTTGAAAGAGCTGGATTACTGCCCAAAGTATGCAGTTTATCATTGCGCACAGCCACAATGTTAGAACAGTAGACTGAGTGTCTTGTCTCGCTTTTTAAAAAAGTATAAGATTTGTGTAAGGGACACCAGGGGAATAAATTTCATTAAAATATTGCAATACAAGGTTACTTCAACCTTCTAATGTGTGTGTAGGTTAAAAAAGAGTGTGATCAGAGTTCATAACCTGGATCAGAAAGATTGTCCTTTGTGTTGGACTCGGAATGGAGAGATTCATGTTCAGGCTTCCTAGAGAACTGCAGAATTTGCTGGGTGACTTTGGGCCACTCACTCACTCTCAGGATAATCTACCTCACAGGGTTGTTATGAGGATAAATTATGGGAGACACTCACACATCCCATATCATCAGGAAAAGCACAATGTGTACGTAAACAAAATATAAGCATATTATTAACTGTAGTAGTAGGTTATGAACAAGTAATTTTGATTTGTATATATAAAATTGACAATGTGGTTTTAATTATTATTTATTTATTTAATACTTTATACCTAAGGCAAGATTATCTGAAGCTGGGCAGATGAAAAAATACAATGAAATAAATATGTGATATTTTCAGCAAATAATTAAAAAAAAACTCTGCTGACAGAATTAAAGAATTATTAGGATAGAAATGTTATAAAAGTGAGTATGTAGCCCCTGCCACCAAAACTTCTTTTCACAATTTAACAGAAAGATATGTAGGCTTTTAAGGTTACAAGTTTTATTCTACAGTTGTTCTTATGTGAAGATTATTAATCTAGAATGAATCAAATACCTTCCATTAATTCAGAACAACACCCCCTAGGAAGAACACTACACTAATATTACCCCCAGAATGCAATTCTAGTGAGATATCTCCCCACCGCAGAAGTGGAGAACAACATAATAGCAGTTATGAGGGTGGAGAT